GGATTACAATAAATCAAGAGCGAACTGTTAAAATATATTCATGATGGAAATTGAAAAATTCCTTTTTGTTCAGTTAAAATTATGTACGTATATAAAATTGTATTATTTATATAAATTTTGTTGATTATATCATATTTTAAGTTAGCTAACCTGTATATTAGGGAATCCTAATTCCATAAATGAATTTTTGAAAAATTAACAGAGCTTTGTTTAAAAAATGTTATAAAAGAATTGTCAAAATAAATAACCAAGTATATATTACCCACAATATCCAGGTTCTTCATCGGATCGATCTGCGCAATGAGGAATACCATCGCAGGTAAGGTGAAAAGGTACACATCCACCATCAGAGCAACGGAATGAATCCCCGCTATCTGTACAGTTTGTTACGATTTTTGACTGGCAACGACCTTCTTCAGATAGCACCCTGCCTTCTTCGCAGGAACACCGTACTTGTCCAGCAGCCGTTAAACCACAAATTTCTTCACAAAAACCGTTATTTATCAGACAAGGGTTTGAAAAGCAATCTTCAGTGTCATTAGCTATAGCAACTATGCCCATGGGTCGTGCTACATCTCTTCTCAGCAGAACAACATATTGACCTGTGAATTTATCTGCTCTGATAATGGCGTGTAATATCCAGTCTGTCCAATATATGAAATCACCATATACTGCAAGAGCGAATGGATGTTGAGGAGTAACCTGAAGGAATATTGAGTTACTAAGGTGAAAGAAAAATTTACAAATGAAAAAGAAGATAATATGTTTGTGATTATTGAAAATTGTCTCGTATTTTTACTAGAAATATGTACCTTAGCCAAGATAACTCGCTTAGTCCCATCATATTCACATCTCTCAATTTTATCAAGCCTAGCATCACCCCAATACAGTTTTTGGGCTTTATGATCTAAAGTAATAGCATTAGGCATTCGTACATCTGTTTTAATTATAGCTTCTCGACCAAAACCAGTCAAATAGGCTCTTTCAATGCTTGGTTGGTGGGAATTCCAATTGGTCCAATAAACTCTATTTCCACAGCTATCTACAGCTATTCCTCGAGGTTTATCTTGTACACGCATATGAACAATTGTTTCAACAGAACTGGCATTTGATAATTGATTGGTCAGATTGACTCTGTTGATGGTAGCATCAATGTTACAAGTCCAATACAAGGAATTATGTATTTGTTCATAAGCTAAGCCTTCCACAGAACCTTGTTCTTAAAAAAAGAAGACTAAAAATTTTGTCGTCTTATACTGAAGGAAAACTTACTCTCCACTACGATTCTATGGTCACTTCCATTGAAGAACACTGTGTTGATAGATCCCTTCTGTATATCAGAGTAGAACAGCCGTTGGTGTTTGTAGCTGAAAGATAAGCCAATGGCGTTTTTCAACATTGTGTTGTTTTTGATACTCGGTTGAGGGGAGTTTTGTAAGTTTTTATCGCCTATAAGTTGAATGGAGTCAATGCTAAGGACACGGGAGTACATGATAAAACTATCGAAAGCTGAAATGAATATTAATTTTATTCAATACATAAAAAGTTTCATTGAAAGTTCATAAATTACCTTCACAAGTTTTTCCATCAGAAGCAATTTTTCCATGAGAACAAACACATACAGGATGTGTTCCATTGAACAAACATAACTGTTGGCAACCACCATTATTATCAGCACAAGGATTGGTACCATTTTGCTTCCTCTTTGAGAACACTTCAATGTCCTTCAAAGAATTACCTAAATATTTCTCGAGTACTGCAAAATCCGACATATTCGAAATATGTGCCACTTTTATACTTCCCCCACCGTGGGTTCTAAAATAAAAATAATTCAATTCATTAAAATTCATAAACTAAAGAGACTGGTCTAGATATATGTACATATGAACACGCATTTTTACAAAATTCCAGTGAGAGAGAGAGATAGAGGGAGAAATATACTTTATTGTCCAATAAATCAAGTTCTTATATACAAAGCATGGTCGAAAAAAATTTTAAAGGTTGCTTTTTAACATATATAAATGATTTACAAAAGTAGAACAATCCTATACTAATCAGTTGAAAAAATAAACATATGTCAAATATAGATAAAATGACAGGGTATATAAAAAATATCACATAAAAATTAACTAAAAAAGCAAATAAAATATGAATAATACATACTGACAATAAAGTTATATCTAAAATAAAATCATAGCAGAGTTTCACTGTAAAATTCCTCGAGATTATAGAATGCTTTTTTGAGTAGAGCTTTTTTTAGTATTTTCCTAAATTTGTAATAAATTTTCTCATTTCTGATTTCGAAGGGTATGTGATTATATATTTTTTTGCTTTCATAAATAAGAGAGTCCTTTGTCAAAATAGATTTTGGAATAAGAAGAGGTATTTTATTTTCCGATATTTGCCTTGTAACATTTTCATTTGATTGCTTGGTTTTGGAGTATCAACTGTATTAAGGTTTTTGTATATTAGACATACAGACTCTATAATAAAAATGCAGGTGAGGGTTTGAATGCCCTTGCTGATAAAAAATGATATATAGGGTTCACGTTTTGCATAGGTATCTAATTGGCCTTTTTTCTAGGACAAACACTGATTGTAGTAATTTTTGACTACAAAATCCCCAAAAAGCAATTCGATATCTCAAATGAGCCTCAATAATAGAGTAGTAAACCATTTTCGCTGTAGATATGCTCAGTTCATTTGAGACAACTCTAAGTGAATAACACCCGGCCACTAGTTTTATGTCAATGCTCTAATATGCAGATCAAATATCAGTTTGTCATCAAAAAATATTCCTAGGAATTTTGAATTATATGTGTTTTCTAAAGTTTGCCCGTATAGGCTCAAATTATCACAGAAGGTGCTAAAGGTAAGTACGTTTGATTTTTATGAAAAAACGAGAAATGAATCTTTCTATGTTTTATACCTCTTTTATTTGTAACTATCATTAATGTAGTTTCGTCCTATATGGACATTTTCAAACTAATACAATAAAATGTCCATATATAGGATGAAACTGCAGTAACAATAGTTACAAATAAAAGTGGAATAAAACATAGAAAGTTTCATTTCTCATTTTTAATGATGATCTCCTACCATATAGTAACGGCTACATCAATCAATTTTTACATTTCATTTCTTTGTTTTAAAACATAGGTAATTGGAATCTCACTATTTTTTACCATTTCAAGATTACTAGTGATAGTATATTTCAATTGCTGGACATTTTTGTAAAATTCCCTCTGATTGGAATGAAAGCCAGATCATTTGAATATAAAAGAAAAAGAATTGGACCGAGAACTTATCCTTGTGGGACACCAGATAAAATCTCTTTACTGGATGTTAATTGTCCATTCGATTGTACTATTTGTTTTCTATCGCTTCTATCGCAAACCATTCATAACAAGCACCTCTGAAACCATAGCAGCAGAGTTTCTTTGAAAGGAGTCTATGGTTTATGCAAGCCAAGTCTTCTGAATAGTCACAAAACACTGCTACTATATTTTCCCCGTTGTTAAGGTTTGTATAAGCAGACTCAAGAAAATGAAAGATTGAATCATTGGTGCTTTTTGAACTTTGAAATCCAAATTGGGTTTTTCATAAAATTTTGTAACTCTAGAAAGGCTAGTACCCTTTTTGACACGTTTTTCAATCACTTTCGAGCCTAAGGCGGTGTCATTTCAATAGGTATGTTTCGATCATTTTGCTATACAGTATGTAATTAATCTCTTTCTCTCTGAATGCCTTCTTTTTTCGTAATGAAAATATTTGATTAATTTAAAACGTTTTTAATTTTGATCCAAGTTAAAATTACTAATATCAGTAGTGTCAGAACTTTCAAATTCATGAAATCTGCTACATATCCAATATATTGGAGATGAATCTAAATACTTTTTTCCACTGAACTATTAAAAACTTTTTTGTACAATTGTTTCATTCAGATGCCATTATCTCCAGTTTCTTGTAAACTAGATCAATCCATGTGCACTTCAAAACTTAAAAGTAATTAGAGCATTCTGTTAATATTAAAATATTACCAAAAATACTTACGTATCTAACCAATAAACTTTTTCATCGAAAATAGTTAAAGCGACTGGGTTTTCTAATGAATGATTCAGCAGCACTAATCTGTCCATTCCGTCATACTTTATTCTTTCAATGGTGTTACCATGTATGTCACAGAAGTAAACAAATTCATTTTGGGAATCTAACGATACATCAGAAATCAATTTTCCATCTTCTATCAATATTTTTCTGTTCTGACCGTCCAATGTAGCTATTTCAATTTTTGAACCACTGGCCCACACTAAAAACCCTTTGACCGGATCAACCACGATGGAATTAGGTTTCCCTACTTCATATGACAGCAAAACATGCTCTTTTGTACCATCTAAACGTGATACTTCTATTGTACCCCGCTTTGAATCACACCAGTATATATTACCAGATATCCAATCAATTGCGATACCTGTCAACCAATCAACAGGAATATTTTCGAATATTTCAGTCTGCTCTAAAATGTAGCTTCGTTCAGTACCATCTCTTTTTATTCGACTTACAGATCCATGTTCGCTATCTGCCCAAAAAATGTAATCTTGCTCTGCCAAAAAGTCGATAGCAGTTGCACTTGATACTTTTGAAATAGGTCCTAATACCTTTGTTTCGTTTCTACCATCTAAAGAGAGTCCATGAAGTTCCCAATTTATAGAATATAAAAGAAATTCCTCGATTCCGACGCATTTAAATTTATCTTTTGAATCTTTTTGATAGCCAATCGCACATTTACAACTGAATGCGGTAGCTGAAATTGGAAGACACAAGTGCTGACAACCACCTCTATTTACGCTACAAGGGTGGTCTCCAACTTGCTCTGACGGATCATATATCTGTAAAGCCAGTACTCCTCCAGTACTGTTCCTCACGATGGAATCGTTCCTTCCTGTCTCTTTATCTATCGAGTGAATTGACAGATCGTTGTCGTCTGCAAAATAAAGCTTTTCGTGATAGAGTGTGATAGCTGATACAGACATGTGTTCTGACAAATTCAGTTTTTTAACATCAGTTCCATCGAAATTACAGAAGTAAATTTCGAAACTGCTTATCCAATAGATTTTTGGTGATTTTTTGTCTACTACTAACCCTTTCGAGTTTTTCTCAAGTTTGGATACTATAGTTGTTCTAGCACTACCATCCATGGCACTTGTTTCTATGAATTCTGTTTCGTTTTCTTTTGATATCCAGAATAATCGGCCCTGAATAGGATCAATAGCAACAGAGAGCACATCAACGTCATCAATAAGATTAGTGCTGAACTCTCCATTCAAATTAGTAACCATTATGCCAGTCTTCGTAGATACAAATAGTAATTGGGATATCCAATCAACAGCTAATCCTGAGGGATTTTGCAAGTCGGTGTCTATGATAGTTTCTGTGGGACCATGTGTTAGACTTGTTCGTTTTATTTCATTGTAATGTTGATCTGACCAATACAAAGTACTGTTTTTGGCAAAGTATTCCAGCTGTACAGGACTCAATACTTGTGGAATGCTTATTGTTGGGATTGTATGGTAGTATGGTTGAAGGATATCAACTCCTCGAATTTGAGTGTTCTTCGATATCAGCAAGACTTTTTCATTTACTGAAAATAAAAACATTTAATAAAATCAGTTCATTAAAAGGCCTAAAGATGATAATAAACTATGTTTTTCAGACGGGTTTATTTACAAGATAATAATAATAAAAATGTATCTATTAGGTCAAAACAAATATTAAACTGATTATGAGATATATTGGCGGAATTCGGCTGAAACCGCTCTTCTATGTTAGCAAAATTTTCTCTTCAAGATATTTCTTATTTCATCCATTTTTGATTCAATTCGCCTTCAATGTGATTTTGAAAAACATTTTTATTGATTTCAATGTAAGTTTTCAAAAAGATGTGCCGAAACTGTTTCTTTTTTTTAAGGACAAAACATAAGCACTACAGGGAAATCCTTAAGTCGTTCTAAGAGCGGTGCCTGTGATAAAATAGCTATTTACATTGGATTTTAATCGCTGGAAATTGAATCCATTTGGAAAAACGTTCTCAGGAAGTTTATTCCACATAATCGCAGATCTCCAAATGAAAGATCTCTTTAACAGTGGAGTTCGAGGTGTACTGAGTTGAACCTCAAAACGATGAGCAGCCTCAGTTCGTCACGTATTTTTGATATGTACCCGCTCTTGGTGAAATCAAATCTGTTAAATAACAAATTTTTTGTCATTTGAATGTCAAAAAGTGAGACAACTAATATTTTTTTCCAAAAACATAATAAGCAACTCAGGTTTACTCAGTTCTAAAAGCATGATATTGATAGTTTTTTTTCGTAAAATCTGAAGACAAACCTCTTACTGAGTAAATATACGGTACATTACTTAGGTAGGTCATATGATCCAAATTGTTATAATGCAGGCCGGTTTTTTCAAGTTGATCCCACAACTGCTATCTCAGACAAGGCAAGATCTACATGGTCGGTTAAATTGGACAAAAGTTTTATATTCAAATTTTCAGATCGAGAATATCATGAGATTTTCATGATGATTGATTGACTAGTTTTGGCGTGAAATCGTAACAAACAAACTTACACTCGCATTTATAATATTATAGTAGGGAAATAGGGATAGGGATTTTGTAGTTATGATCATGCCTTCAATCCTGCAAATATTCAACTCAAGTTCATTGATATTGAGAAAATTTGATATTTTTGATAATGCTTGATTCATTTTATTAACGGTTCAAGATGATGATTGCTTACAGCAAGCATCATTTCGTCAGAAAACAAATTAATAAATTCAAAATCTTCAGTATGTAACTACAATATCATTCAAATACAAAATTAACAAAAGAGGTCCCAAAACATTTTCTTTTAAAACATCTGTTTTTATATCTCTAGCATGTGATAGAGTTGCATATTGACGAATAAAATTACTGGCCGCTTAAGCCAAAGTTCTAAACCTGACTGCCGTGACGGATCAGTGTTGCCAATAATGATCCTTACCTGTACTGACAACTTAACATAATGAATGCATGAGATGACCACATCTCGCTAATTGCAGTGAACATTTCACAACTAAGTGTTACTTTATTAGTGTTGTAAATCTTGCCCTGAAGAAAATAACGCCGGCCGCCACTGGTAGTAATAAACCAATTGTGACGTGGCTAAGAGTGCGCTCAATCCGACTGACGTTTAGCGGTTCTTCAATGTGCGCCGGCGCTCTAGACATGGCGAGAATAATTCTACCGGCTTCGACAGAATTCCAAGGATTTTTCTACCTCCTTCGATTGCCAAATATAAACGCCATCCACTCGCTTATATGGATAGTCAAGTTTCGCGGAGAGTGCGTGTTTTGTTATGTTAATAGTGAAATAAAGTTGAGTTTGATTATTGTTTGATGTAGTCAATTATTCGTTAACCCACGGGGAAAAAGGTAACAATAATGTCAAAGAATTCTTAATGATACTTACCCACGCAAGTTTTATTGTCTTCCCCAAGTCTCATAACATGTGGACAATCACATTTGAAAGTGTGGTTCAAGTGCAATAAACAAAGATGCGAACATCCGCCATTATTATTTCCACAAGGACTTATTCCATCTGTAGGCTGCCGACTGGGATGCATGATTTTGATATCAAAAGGTTGCGTTAAAGTTCTCTGAATAACCCTCACATCTCCCCCATTCCACTTATTGGCTCTAATAACGCTATTCGTTCTCCAATCCGTCCAATAAACGTAATTTTCAAAAACTGTAATTGCAAACGGATGAGAAAGCATTTCATGATTATTCATTACCTCATGATGATCATTTCCATCATAATCAGAAGTATGTATCGAGTCTGACTGAGCGTCGATCCAATATATTCTTCTAGTAGTATAATCCAAAGTTAAACCATTAGGCCATCCATTGTTCACAATTCTAACAACCATGCGTCGATCTAATCCCGCCAATGAACACCGTTCTATTCGGGGAAGCTGACTATCCCAATCTGTCCAAAATAGATATCCATCTCTTGGATCAACAGCTATGGCTCTAGGACTTTCCATATCGCCAGCTACAAGAGTCCGACGAAAACTTCCGTTCAGTTTAGCAACTTCTATCTGATCTAAGTTACTCTCTACCCAATAGAGATTTTGGCCGATCCAATCCACAGCTAACCCCTCGGCCGTGGACAAACCTGTCTGTACAACTACCTCAATGTTTCCGAGTGAACCTCCTATTACTGTTCCTCTATAGATTTTATCATCTATCACATCTGTCCAAAATACCTGTTGAAAAAATTGAAGTTACATAAGTCTGTCGATAATTTAAATACCACAATCAATATGGAATTTTTTGAAAGAAGTTAGGAAATGCATCAAAATAAGAATACACTTTCATCCTAAGGAATAACTAAATATGAAATAGTGAACACCCATATGTCCTAAACACTGTTGGGAGTATTTTTGCTTTCTACTACTCCATCTTGATACAAAAAACAAGGATGAGGGAATCTTCTAAGGAAAGGAAGGAAGTAATCAATTTTAAAATAAGTAACTCTATACATGTTTCAAGACAGAATTGAAATGATTGTAACTTACGGAGAAGTTGGAAAGTGCGCATGAAGGCCGGCATGTCTTTAACGAAAGACATCCAAATTATAATGTGAGTCACCAGTATGTGCTTGATTTGGTGAATAAGTTTTACAAAACCGGTTCAGTGTCAAATAAAAAAGAAATAACCTCAGAGTACTAAATGAAGCAGCTCAAATTGAAGTTTTGGAAACATTTGCTGCAGAGCCCACGAGCTCATTACGATCAGTATCAGAACATATGGGAATGTCACGCGAGACTGTAAGAAAAGCATTGAAAATGCAGAAATTTCATCCTTATGAAATGCAGATTCTTCAAGAGCTCCACGAGGATGTGTACTTTCTAATACAGTGATATTTTTCAAACAACTACCGCCATCTCTAGATCAAGCTAGGTACTTCTGAGAACACACTCGTAAATCCGAAGATAGTGTTAATTTTCAGCTTTGAAAAACCATTGGTTCATCAAAAGGTGCTCAAAGGAAATATATGTTATGAAAGTTGATATAAAAAAGGAGCTTTGAAAGAAAGGGTTTTTCTCAAGTAATCAGATAGAAACATTCAACTGAAGACAATATGTCCTCAAGTTCGTTTTCAAACAGTTGTTGATTATTTAAAAAGTTAACTCATAGTTCAAAATGAATACAGAATAATGTAAAAGAGAGATATATACAAGTTACCATATTGAAACTGCTATCATTACTTTTACAAAATGAATATTACTAGTGTTTTATCCTAAAACCAAACCGTTATTTTTAATACCTCGACACGTGTTTCGATCACCAAGTGATCATCTTCAAAAGGAAGATTAAACGGTTTAATCTTCTTCCTCTTGAAGATGATCACTCAGTGATCGAAACACGTGTCAAAGTGTTAAAAATTACGGTTTGGTGTTGGAATAAAACTCCAGTAAGAATATTACTGGAGTTCCAACCAGTGCATCACAAGTAGTTTTACACTTTTCTAGTTACCACCAATTTTTTTAGGTTCCAAGTTATAAAGACTTTCAAAAAATATTTTGTTAGATTTATTCTTTATTGGTTTTCATGACAACTCTGTCAGGACAACCTCACGATTAAAAAGATAACAAAAATTTCAAGAAAACATTTTTCCTTCTAAGTGAAAAAAAACATGAGAATGTAGCAACTCTTGAGGAAACTCTGATGAGCAGAAGGACCTATACCCTTCATCTCTATTAGTTTCCTACTCAAATAGGTTATCAGAATAGCAGAAGAATGAACATACCATATCAGTATCATTGGCGTGGAAAAAATCCAACGTAATGGTATTTTTCAAACTTGGTATGAATGACTTCAAACTGAACGTATGCAAATCTATTCCTCTGAGCTCGTGGCGATTACTAAATATAACATAAGGCCGTCCACTGTCGGTACTTTTGCAAGTAAAACCATCTTCTTGCAATACATATCCCTCCTGGCAAGTACACTTGTACCTTGAACCTCTTGGAATGCAATTTTGAGAGCAAACACCCCAAGCTTGACAAGGATGTGTTTCAAGGCAATGGGTTTTGTCTGCTTGGAGGTGTAAATGAGGGGGGCAGGTGCAAATTAGGCCTTCCGGTGCATTGTGACAGTCGTGAGAACATACGAAGCTATGATCACATAGCATATCAGAACATCTCATTCCCTCATCTGTACCATCATTGCAATCATTTCTACAAGAAAAAATATTAGAAAAACTACATGTTCATATTTATGTTGGAATAAGTTACCTATCATCACAAAGCTGGTCAATAGAAATGCACTTTGTATCATTATCACAAGACCTGGAGGGGTATTCACAATTAGATATGAATTTAGATTCAGTATGCTTGTGATCCTGGCAAGTTTCTCCTATTTCGTCTGTGCCATCAGCGCAATCCTGTCGATTATCACACAATTTCGAGGTGGGTATGCACTTTGTGTTGTTATCGCAGAGTTTATATGGTGCATCACACTTTATAACTGGCGTTTTGAACTCTGTGGCATTCTTGAGTTTATCTGGGTCACAATTCCTTTCATCGGAGCCATCTAAGCAGTCCAGATCTGAGTCACATTTGAATTCCTATAATTTTAAAGTTGTGATTAAGTGACTGATAAATATTTTTGGAATAATTTCTTATGATTATACCAATGTATATGCATATAATACATAAAGAATTAGTGCTATTTTGACACATCAGCTGCAATTCCCAGAAAATGTAATTTATTTATAAATAAAATATAAATTACAATGTTAAATTATGATTAAAATAAAATCAGAATTACAAATTCCAACTAAAATAGATTAAAAGGGGTAAATTTGCAGTTTAAAAAGGGGTTAATTTTAGAGTATAAAACGACAAAAAACAATGAACGACAATAAAACATATACTACGTATACTACCATGAACTATACACTAAAACATTAAAGCACTGTATTCCGTAATTGAGTTTTAAAATGATGCAAGGAGATGTTAAACATCTCAAGATCAACGTTACTATTGGCTAATCGTAAGATTCTTGGAATGCAGCTATTGAATGTTGCTATCGAGTTGAGCGGTTTTGAACATGTAGATAAATTTTTTCTAGGGGTTCAGCACAACTGAATTTTCCGTTAATAATATTGAAAAGTAGTGTCAGATCTCTCTGTTTCCTCCTAGTTTCCAGGGAGAACATGCTCAGAGATTGCAGTAGCAAATCATACATGCAACGAACACCCGATTGAAATATTATGTATCTGAGGAAGTTGTGTTGGACATTTTCGATGTTCTTAATATAAGTTAAACAATGAGGGGACATGACAGAAGAACAATACTCCAGGGTGGACGGACCAGTGAACAATAAAGGGCTTTAATAGCAGTTGGGTCAGTGAATTCGTGGGTTAGCTGTTTGATAAACCCTAGCATTTTCATGGCTTTATGGATAGCCGGGAGTATATGTAGATTGAAGCTCAAGGTGGGATCAAGAACAATCCTAAGGTCTTTTATTTGATTAACAGACTCCATGACATGACCATTTAAAGTGTAATCAAAAGTGGTAGAAGGTACATGGGATTGATAAAAGCACATGACATGGCACTTTGTGGCATTCAAGTCCATGCCATTTAAGGGGCACCAGTTTGATAGATTGTCAAAGTCAGACTGAAGCCTATGGACATCCAAAGAGGTTTTAATGATCAGGAACAGTTTTAAATTATCTGCAAATAATAGTGCTTTGGCGTGCCGGAAGCAATGAATAATGTCATTAATTGAATAATAAGGGACCGAGGTGTGACGCCTGAGGAACACCAGAGGTTACTTCGAATTACGTGGAGTAGTGATAATTTGCTCTAACCATTTTGAGTCCTATTCGTAAGATAACTACCAATCCATTCCAGTAGTACACCTACACCATATCTGTTGAGCTTGTGGAGAAAGAGGTTATGGTTGACCCTGTCAAGATTTCAATATTTTTTTCTTAGTACAATGCATTTTACATTAAAAGACAAATTCAGTTTGATAATTGATCAATCAATCAATCAAATATACTTTATTGTCTGAAGAACTACATCTTGTAGACAAAGTCATAAATAATATGTAAGATACAAAAATCTATATAAAAAAAGCATACACAATTTAAACAAAATACAATAAACATTAGATAAAAATGTGAAATACACTGAGATATTCAGCTGGAAATAACAAGACATAGAAATAAAAGTTAAGATTCAAGTGAATCGTCAAGATACTCCTGAACTGAATAATAGGCCCTATCAACAAGTAGCATTTTAACTGCTTTTTTTAATTTGTTAAGCACTATAATTTCTTTAATTCGGGCTGGTAAGTGGTTAAACAGTTTGATCCCGTTGAATATAATTGAATCCCTAACAAGGGAGCTCGCAGGAATAGGCAGATCTATGTTACTATTGTGGCTACGAGTATTATATGAGGAAGGGGGAGATGCACAAGAATAATTTTTTTTTATCAAGCAAATTGATTCCAAGATAAACAGAGCAGCTACTGTTAAAATACCGTGAGCTATGAAAAGAGGCTTGCATGGATCCCTGGGAGCTGCTTTGCACATATATCGGAGAGCCCTTTTTTGGAGCACAAAAATCATTTGAAATAAATCTCTAGAACAGACTCCCCAGAAGGCTATTCCATATTTAATATGGGGATCTATTAGAGCGAAATAAGCTGTTCTTGAATGGGAGTAGCCTAGTTCTCTAGAAATCACTCTTAGTGCATAGCAACCTGAGAAAAGCTTCTTGCTTAAGTTTATTGTGTGATTTTTAAATTTCAGTTTATCATCAATGTTCAACCCTAGAAATTTAAAATTATGTACCCTGTCTAAGATTTTGTCACCAAGGCAGATCTCAGGTAAGTCGCAGTGGAAAGTAAGTATGCTAGTTTTATTGATATTAAATGATAACTTATTGTAGTCGCACCATTCTTTGATGTCAGCTAAGATGGCATCTTGAAGGGTAGGAATGTCCTTGTTATGCCATAATAAAGTGTTGTCATCAGCAAAGAGAGTAATTGTGGCCATTATATCTATAAAAGCTAAGTCATTTATGTAGATAAGAAACAAAATTGGGCCAAGGATCGATCCTTGTGTTACACCACATTTGATAGTTTGAGCTGAGGAACTCTCGGTTGTTTTAACTACCTGTTTGCGACCTGATAAGTACGAATGAAACCAGTGGAGAGTGTTGCCTCTGAAGCCATACTGTTGCAATTTATTAAGAAGGATCTCATGGTTGACACAGTCGAAAGCTTTCTAGTACGCATGTATCTCTCCTTGATACAGTCTTGAGACACAGACATGGGACGTTTCTTCCCCACTTGGGGTTTTTTTCACGAGATGGATCTGTTACTAGTTAACAATCTTTCTCTTAGATGAAGGTTTCATACGTGTTAGGAATCACACGTTAAAAGGTAAGACCTCGTTAGTCCTTAGCTCGCACAAGTTTCTCAACTTCTGAGAATTGCCGTTCGTATGGGGACAACAGCTGATTAACGAAAAAACAGAACAGATGTAGTTAAGCAGCGTTGAAATTTATCGAGCAGACACTTTACTGTTCGGATTGGATCGATCCTGAACTGATGAGACGTAATACCTCGAAACTGGTCTGTAGGTGATCTACTCGAACAATTTCAGCATGATCCTATAGCTGAATGAACGAGAAACATCTGCAAAACTAACCCCTGTGAAGTATCCTGTATAAATGTATGTCGGATATAATTCAATATCCAGCGTGATATTAGCCGGGGAAGTAGTTGTTTTCCAGCAGGCATTTACCAGAACCTACAGTGTAGGTAGCTGGGAGAGATGAATGATTCAAGATTTCATTTCGAAATATTTGTAGGTATATACCTACAGTGTGACCCATTTTTAATGGAAACACCTCCCTAAAATTTGAAGTTGTAAACCGATTTTAATATTTTTTTTTGAAATGTCAAGTACTAAAAGGTCTACCTTGGGACAAAATTTGAAATGTTTATTAAAGTTTCAGGGCATACTACGATATTTTTTCTTAGTCGAAAATCGGGATTTTTTATTAGCGATTTTTTTATT